AAATTTGCAGTCTTGCAACCCTAAAGCTGGTTTCCTACAAGTAGCGTAGGTTGCTTAGGTATGAGTAGCAGTGCCAACTATTCTTATGTTTCGTACTTACTTTCAAATTTGCGATCATATCTCTGGTCAGCTTCATGGCCTCACCACCATGCCATGGAGGAAAAGTGGGAATGTCTTCTGCTCTGACAAGCGCGCCAAAACTGCACGATAATTCCAGAATCATGAAATCACCACCTGATCCATATGCAACGGGCAGGGTGCAGCTAATGGAATGGCTAGCCGTCAATGATCATGTCAGCAGTGGTCACTTGAAAGATCATGCTAGGTCATGGAAGGTCACCAGCCGTTATTTGATCACACTTTTTGATGGATACCTACACTAGACCGATGAAATTACACTAGGTTGGCTCAGCTCAACAATATGAATCAACTTATATCGACTATAATCGACTCCAAGTGATTATTTTCCACATTAACGGATCTAATTTTATTCGCGTGGGTGGTGAAAGTCTTGGGCGACTTTAGGCTACAAATAACCGCAGCTAGTGATCCTTCTCATAGAGAGTTTCTCATCTCTTTCCTCCCTAGACGGATCCAGAATGGCGGCCTTGGACGCTACGGGGAATGCAAAAGCTTCTATAAATTCTAAAAACTCCCTGGATCTTGATTCCTTATGTACTGCAATTTTTCCTGATGTCTCTAGTTTTCTTTTAACCCGCGTCCCGCTGGGCTATTCAGCCATACGCGCCCTGCTGGGGGGGGGGGAGGCAGATTCTGCCCCCACTGTCTAACTTCCGAACCGATGGTCGTAAAAGAAAGACGGGGAAAACGGCAATCTCAACAAGCAGCTCTCAACAAGGCGGATCTTAACCCGGCAGGCGGTGGGACTCCCGGCCACCCTACTGGACGGATCCGAAAAATTCAGACGGCTTCGATAGCCCTGTCAAATTTGTCGAAGGAAACCAAATTTCATTGACCTCGGGGTCACCGATGACGTCACAGGTCAGGTCAAAGATAAAATGTTTCACCGTTCACGGGTCTTCTAGGGAAAGCGCTATAACACCGAGGAAAACGCATTTTGTCGAAAATCAGCGATAGGGCCTCAGTTGTCTAGTACATATGTTGCTATTAGAGGTCACTGGTCATACCAGGTCAGGTCAAAGGTCAGGTCACCAAGGGTCACCACATGAACTCAACTTTACTAAGGTTGTGCGATGCATGTTTTATGGCCAATTTTTCATTTCCAACTCAATGGTGTTGGTTAAAAATGAAGTTGTTAGCGGCGTTTGAATTTTTGCCGTTTTTCAGGCGAAAATGGTGGACATGACGTCACTAAAACGTCATTTCCTCAAACATTTCCGACGGATTCCGCTCAAATTTTCAGGGAAAGTGTTACATTAATGTATGATAATGTACTGAAAGTTTGACGTCGTTGGCGTAACGCGTTTAGAAGTTATTGGCGAAAAACGGGAGGGGGGGGGGGCAGATTCGCCCCCCCTCAGCGGGGCGCGGGTTGATTCCACACAAAAACGGTAAACTTACGTACGTCCATTTCGGGCACTGCGGGGGGGAGTACAGTAGGTCTACTAAAAAAGTCCCCCGCTCCAGAGGCGGCCGGCCGGCCGAACCCCCGGATTCCAGCCCCGACTCTATTGCGCAGGCCGCGGCAGCGACACGGGTCAGGTCGCGGCGCCCGGCGAGTGGGTCAGTTGGCGGCGGCCGGCCGTAGAGTGAGGACGCCGTGTGTGGGGCGCGGAGATGCCGCAGTGCAGAGGAGGGGAAGATAATGACTCTGCACGATGCCGGAAATGATGCCTTTGTGATCTAAATTAAACACCTGCAGTGCATATCCTCCCTTGCCCCATTCCTATTTTATTATAATCCTTCAATAATCCGTAATGGCCATTCAACGCAAGCAAGCAAACAAAGCAACCCGTTTAGCGGCGACATCATCTCGGATAAAAAAGCGACAGTGATGATTAGAATAGACTTAGCGCGAGGGCAAATCGAGGGGTATAACTATATGTATCACATACCGAGTATTTTATTCCCATCTAGTGAATTAAGATTGGGGATCTTGTCCAACAAGTCAGTGGCCGTTCTAGACGCAGATAAATGCTTTGTTTTCGGTCGCATCATTATCTGCAATAATTCGAAGCGAGGTTAAACCCTCGCCGGCCGAGAAGAAGGGGTGGATGCAGCCAGATGCAGCCACTTTGTTTTTTTTATTGCGGTAGCTCAAAGCACACTGATAATAGAAGGCTGACATTTCACATGCCTTACATTTCATTCAAGCCGGATCACTTGACATCAACCACGTTTTCAGGTCAGGTCACTTAACTATGACGTCTTAAGTAAACCTCTGCACGGTTGTCGGTTATAAAATGATGCAATATCCGCAATGCACTTAGTGTCATATAAA